GAATATACTGTGTTCATGGATTGGTATTCATAGACATTTTAATGTCTATACTACCGAAAGAAATCTATAGATTCAATGCAATCCCTATTAAAATACCAATGGCATATTTCACAAATCTAGAACAAAAACTCCAAAAATTTATATGGAATTAAAAAAGGTCTTAATACCCTCAGCAATCTTGAGAAAGAAGAACAATGTTCGAGGGATCACAATACTGGATATCAAGCTGTACTACAAAGCCACTGTAATCAAAACAGCGTGGGACTAGCCCAGGAACTGGCATATATATCAATGTTTCAGAATGGAGAACCCAGAAATTGAGAACCCATAATTGAGCCATTATGTTTAATTAATATTTGACAGTGGAGGCAAGAGCATACAATGGAATAAGGATAATCTCTTCAAAACATGATGTTGCAAAAATTGGACATGTACTAGTATATGCAAAAAAAAATTATATATTTATGCTAGACCACACAACTTACACCAGACACAAGAATAAACTCAAAATGGATTAAAAACTTAAATTTAAGTCAAGAAACCATAAAAATCCTAAAAGAAAACATAGACAGCAAAATACCAGACATCTCATAAAGCAGAATTTTCACGGATACAAAGGAAAACATAAATGGGACTACATCTTGCTGACTGAAGGTGCCCAGGTTCAATTCCCACCAAGGGCACTTGCCCAGGTTGCAGGCTCAATCCCCAGTGTGGGGCGTGCAGGAGACAGCCAATCAATGATTCTCTCTCTCCCTCTCCCTTCCTCTTTGAAATCAATAAAAAAAATATATTTAGAAAAGGGAAAAAAATAGGCAGAGGATCTAAATAGATACTTTTCCAAAGAGGACATACAAATGGCCTATGAAAAATGTTCAATGTTGCTAATCACCAGAGAGATGCAAATTAAAACAATGAGATACCACCTCACACCTGCCTGAAGGGCTACCATCAATAAATCAACAAACAATAAGTATGAAGTTTCCTCAAAAATAGAACTTCCATTTGACCCAGCAATCCCATTTCTGGCAATATATCCTAAGAAGCCTGAAACAGCAATCAGAAAGAATATATGCACCCCTGTTGTTCATAGCAGCACCATAGCTAAAATCTGGAAACAGCTCAAGTACCCATCAGTGAATAAGTGAATTTAAAAACTATGGTACATTTACACTGTGGAATACTATGCAACTATTTAAAGAAAAAGGATCTACCCTGTTTCCCTGAAAATAATCAGTGTCTTATATTAATTTTTGCTCCCAAAGATGAGCTAGGTCTTATTTTCAGGGGATGTCTTATTTTTCCATGAAGAAGAATACGGTACACATTTATTGTTAAATGAAAATAAAGGAAATTTATTACCTGTATACGGTACGATGGTATGGTAGTTGTCAACACATACCAGACAAACTGTGAATCCTACAGTATCAAGAATTTACTCATTTATTCAATGACAATCATGTCATCATCTTCTGGAACATCATCATAACAATCCAATTCCTGAATTTCCTGATGAATTTCTTGTGACTCCATTTCTTTCAGAATCAGTGGACCAAATCTCTCATGTTTAGCAATAGCATTCTGAGACAGAGCCTATGAGGGGCCTTATTTTCGGGGGATGCCTTATATTTCACTCAGAAGGAAACCTGTAGGTAGGTCTTAATTTCAGAAGATGTTTTATTTTCAGGGAAACATGATATTACCCTTGATAGGGACCTGGAGAGTATTATGCTAAGCAAAATAAGTCAGTCAGAGAAAGACAAATATTCTATGATCTTACTTATATGTAGAATCTAATGAACAAAATCAACTAACAAACAAAATAGATCCAGAGACAGTGAAAATATGATTTCAGAGGGAAGGGGAAGATGGGGAGAGAGTAAGGGAGAGAGGGAAGAGATTTACCAAAGAACTTATATGGAAGGCTTGGGGAGGGGTTGGGTGTCGGGGAAGAAGAGAAGCAAGTGGGGAGAGGAAACATCTGTAATACCTTCACCATTGAAGAGTAAAAATATTTATAGTAGTAGAAACAGAAAGCAGATTTATGTCTTCTAGGGGGGTAGGGTAGAAGACATCGGGAGTGACTGCTTAATGGGTACAGGGATATCCCTGCTGGTGATAAAATGTTCTGGAAGTAGACTACAGTGATGAGTGCACAATATTGTGAATGTATTTAATACCACTGATTGTAAATTTAAAATTATTAAAATGGTAAATTTTATATTATGTGAATTTTAACACATACACACAATCAGAGTCAATTTCCTGTGGTCAGATGAAACCATGTTCCTTGAGGCACTTTCAGTTCCTCCATACCCTCATCACAAATACAATGATTAAAAGAATCCTTTTCTCACAAACAATAGGAAAAAACATACAATAAACACTAAATTCTGTTGGGGGGGGGGGGGGGAATCACTGTTTTTATCCCTAGAATTCCTTTAAGAGTTCAATTATAACATAATAAAATTATATACCTAAACCTTCTAACAAGGGATTTCTCTAAGTTTATTTTAAATTATTTGATAGAACTGAAAAAAAATCAAACATCCTTTCATGATAAGCCACAAAATACCTAATTTAAATATGTATTTTAAAAGAATATGATGCTTCTAATTCATCCATCTATAAACATTATAATAGCATTTGCATTATCTTCTTACGAATTATATGAGCTATAGGTGTTTTCTTAAAACATTATGTCCACACAGGAGAAATGAATTGTTTGGAAAGAATTCGAATGAGGTACATCATTCCTAGAAACACATTGTAATGGTAGGATTTGTCCAATGAAATCAATTAGCAAAGCTTTGGAGGGAATCCATTAAGGCCAAGTATAATAGAGAATGTTTCACTTAATCTAACTGTAATTTATTCAAGATGATCAAAAGGTCTAGTTTACATAATAATATGAACAATAAAGATTGATTTTAAAAAAAACAACACACACACACAAAAGGTCTAGTTTACAAGTGTTCATTTTCATACACAAAATGTAAGAAACTGCTGCCTCCTTAACTAGTGTTCTTCCATCCACCCTTATGTCCTATTTACCCTCCTCCAGCTGTTATCTATAAACTCTGCCCTTTCCTTTAGAGTTCCTCCAGTGACATCTATTAAGCATTTTCTTCAGGGAAAAAAAAAAATGAATTGTGATGTTTTGAGGTGTAGAACTTGCTCAAAGTAGAAAAATTATATTCTGTCTTGGGACAATTGTGTGATGGGTATATTTTTCAAATGAAAAGTCAGAAATTATGGAAATACCAGAGATATTATGATAAAATTGTTTAGAAAAAAAAGAATCTCATGTTAATATCATAACTTCTAAATATCATTAAGCCTAATATATTTCCACTACAAATCTATTTTCCTCCTCTGATTTTAAATGGAATGTATAGATATGCCCCCCAAATTAATACATTTTATCCATTATAAGATTCCATCAGTAGTAAAACACACCGTTATTCTACTCATTCCTAAAAAAAAATAATTTCCCCATAAAACTACAATTTTCCATCAATTTTAAGAAAGATACTGATTTTGTTTAAATATAAAAAACAAAATACAAAAACCTTACCTCTTGCAATTGGTGAAATAAGATACAGTTTTTAAAAAAGGTGGTTTGGGGTTTTTTTGTTTTGTTTTGGGGTTTTTTTTTTCTTTCTTAGTGTAGACAGAAAAAAAATTGGGTTTTGATTGGAGACTGAAATAAATATACTTAAAATTTCCAGTTTAGACTTTACTCTTTAAATCATGCTGCTATTTCTTACTTTGTTTTTCTCAGGAAAAGATGATGTTTGAATAACCAGGTGAAGCCCACAGTTCACCTGCAATGTAAAAATTAAACCATTAATATGTTAACTTACACACACACACACACACACACACACACATTCCTCCCCAAAATACAAATAAACATATAACGAACAGAGTGCTTGCTCTTTGTTTCTGCTATATGATCATGTTCTGAGGATTTGCTGAAAACAATAAAATCACAACTAAGAATTAACGGTTTCACTGTGCTTTGTTTTCTAAAATGTCTGCAGCAACTTAACCCTCTACGTAACACCTTAGGATTTAGACACTGGCCATTTCAGGCCTAGAAAAATATCTCAGAGAACTAGGTGAAGGAGGTGGGAGTGTCTATTAATAATAAATTCTTTTCTTCAGCTAAAAAAATGTGAATCGACTAGTTAAATGAATTTAAATGAACCTTAGCCTTTCACAGCAGATCAGCTCCACCTTCTGGGAAGCCCAGATCTGGGAAGAGACTGAATCCGCCATCATACAATATTAATACCTCAGAATGCCTGGGTCCGGTCCACGAATCTCCAGCCTCGGCCAGACAATAGCTTAAGCAGCTCAGCATCCCAGCCCCATACACATCAGTCGGACAAAGACGCCGGAAAGGACGACGCGAATGGAAGGAAAGGGAAAGGCGGAGACCCAACCTACGTTGTTCGTAGCCCGGCCAGAAACAGAGCGGAGTTTCCCGGGAATCATGGCAGGAGTCAGTCCAGAATCCTTAGATCTGCATCAGAAATGACGCTATGGCAGAGACCCAAAGAGACCAAAGCCTGTCAGGTCCCAGGCAACCCGCTCAGGGGTTACCACGGAAACAACGACTTCCGGTCTGGTCCTCTCCCAAATCTGCGGTTGGTGGGGGCGGGGCGGGGCCGGGCTGGCCCCTTGGTAGCTATGACAGCCACCACTTCCGGTCCGTGCCTCCTCCCAGCCACCTCCGCTCGGCCCGCGCGAAACAAGTATCCCGTGCCAGTGGCCACCTGCTCACCCGCCGTGACTGTGGGAGGAGGAGGAAGAGGAGGAAGATATCCCAGGGCCAGCGCTCCTCGACTTAGGGCTCTTCCGGTGGCCGGAGGAAGGGAAGGAAACGCGCGGGACCCTGGCTTCCCCGCACCATGCCTCCTTCGTGCCAGTCGCGGTTCCGCTTCCCCGAGGGCCGGCCGCGCGGGGTGGCCGGGGCAGGGACAGCTTGGTGATCCCGCCTTTTTGACGTCTCTTCGGTGATTCAGAAGAACCTGCGATTCCCCCATCGCCTGAGGCTGGTGGCGGGCGCCGTGTCCACCAGGCCCCCTGTGTCTCCCCAGCATCTACGGGTTAACAAGAGGGGACCAAGCGGGCGACCCTGAAAAGGGAGGAGAGCCGCGGGCCCGCAGATATTCCGAGGCCGCCCGCGCCTGGCCTCCGAACAATCCCCCAGGCCAGGCGGAGGGCTGCAGCTTCCCAGGCAAAGGGACTTGCAGGAGCCCACCGAAGGTCGCGGAGAGACCCTCAGACGGTGGGTAGGCGCTTCCATTGGGGAAAATTACCACATCTCTAAAGTTTCTGTAGTCTTATATGTAAAATTAAGAGTGTGCTTTGAAGGTGATAGCCAAGATTCTATTTAGCTTTAACACTTTGGAATTACAGTTCATTCTACTTCTCCCTCAAAACCCACACAAGCCAACACTATGGTCCTTCAGATTGTAAAGGCGTCTTTACCTGGGCTCCAGAATTCTTATAGTTTTATTTGAGCAAATCTCAAGGAATGGGCTGCTCCATACTGTTTTTGCAAAACATTAAGACACAAACTTGAGGAAATGTCAATTATACATCTCAAAATGGTAGGGAAGGGGATTGCTGATAACCCCTCCCCACTCTTAAAAATCCCTTTGCCTCTAGCTGCCTTTGAGTTAAATGATCCTACTAAGGTCAATTTCACCCATCTTGCCTGCTTCTGCCTTCTGCCTTTATCCTTATAAGTTATCTGGTCACTATCTTCTTCTTCCCCATTTCCCTTCTTAAAGACTTCCCAGCCTTCTTTGAGCCCTATCCCATTATGTAGATTAAATTATGATTCTTAATCAGATCTAGGAGTTCACCAAAACATGACCTAAGTGTCAGATGGGTACTAGACTTATGGGGTAATCATTTCATAAGTTTTATAAATGTTTAACCTCTATGTTGTATGCCTGAGACCAATTTAATATTTTATGTCAACTATAATTTAAATTCTTTTACTTTAAAAATGTTTTTTACATTTATTGTATGTTTTTGTTATTTATTGTTAATGTTTATTGTTGACAATATTACAGATGTCCCTCATTTTTCTGCTCTTTGCCCTCTACCCAGCCCTGCCCCACTTCAGGCCTTCATCACACTATTGTCTGTGCCCTTATGATATGCATGTATGTGTGTGTGTGTGTGTGTGTGTGTGTGTGTGTGTGTATATATATATATATATATATATATATATATATATTCTTTTTAAGTGACATTTTGGCTTTGAATATACAGAAATATTTATAGAATTTGAGCTGAAGGAAACCTTTGTGTTCATCTAGTCCAAATTCACAGTTTAGGCACGAGCAAGTCATTTCAGGAGGCTAATAATTTCCTCAAAGGCCTATAATATTTGCTCTAGGTCTGATTGCCAGACCAAAACTCCTTCTGGAATACCAACTTGCTTTCTGCATTGGAGTAGTTGCTTAAGATCTTTTCTTTAATGGCATCTTGCAACTATTAGGATAAAGAACAAAATTATTACCCCAGTAGACAAGTCCTTGGGTGCTTTTTGTCCCTCCCTACCACACCAGTTCTATACAAGGCCACTGTCCTTGTTGCTCACTGTGTACCAGTTATGCTGATCTTTTCAGTTGTTTCATGTAATACCCTGGAATTATGCCCCATCTATTCCCCACCATCATCAATTAAGTCCTTTTATTTAAAAAAAACAACTCAAGCATCCTTCCCCTTTGATACCCTAACTTATATGCTTCCATTTTTATGTATATAAATAAAATAGCACATAGATTTCATTATATTCATCACAATAATGAAATAACTATGTAGTTTGTTCTTCATATTAGAATTTACACTCCATGAGAGCAGGGATCATATCTTATTTATGCATTATTATCAGTACCTAGAACAATGTTTTGTAAATTTAAGGAATTCAATAAATATATATGGAATGATTATGTGACTATTAGAACAATTTTTGTAGTATAATAGAATTTTTGATTATTTGCTAGTTTCCCCTCTCACCAAGCTATATGCCACTTGAGACCTTTGTCCTTACCTTGAACCATCTCTCCATCATCATTGTCTTTACCCAAGCATATTTATGTGCATCTATTATACCTAATAAAAGAGAAACATGCGAGATGGTGGCTTGTCCCTGTTTCGCCACAGTTCCCAGCTTGTGAGCCTGATCTCCTTACGCTGGTAAGACTGGAACAGGAGGCCTGGAAAAACCACCACAGAGGAGACCATCGAGCAGCTGAGACACCCCAATTGGCGCAAACGCGTGGATTCAAAGGAGATCTTCAATCACCCACGGAAAGGTCAAAGTTTGCGGGGATAACATGAGGGATCCCGGCCCTGCTGCGCCGGCAGCAACTGCAGCCACTGTGCCCCACACCGAGCGGCGCCTAAAGAAGGCTTGGCTGCAGCGAATATCCTGCCTGGGGAGACCCAGTGCCAGGTCTGGGTCTGGTGTAATCTACCCCAGAAGCGGGACTCTTTTAAAACACCAAGGTACACGGAACAGATTGTTAAGAATCCGGGCAGTCCGACCTGAGCGGACAGGCGGATTCCACAGAAAGGTTGGATTTTGCAGGAATAACGCAGGGTGTCTGTGTCGCGAAAATGAAAGTGAAAGCAGCAGCAGCTGTAGCAGCCACAACAGCAGCAGCCACTGTGGCGGCAGAGAAAAAAAAAAAAAAAAAGCGCCCGCTGGGACCCCGGAAATCTGCATCCACAGAAGCCCCCCACTGTTGGGGCTGGCGTGATTCGAGAGAGTGGACAGGGGTCCCCAACATTGCTACTAGTGGGGTTCTCTAGGGAGCAACCCATTCTGATCCCACACAGAGGGAGAACATAGGAGTTAGAAAGCAGTCTGTTTGTAAGTGTGCACAGACTCGCCCATCACGCACCTGGGCTGGTTCCCCTGCAACACTTTGCTTCTGATTACAAAGGAGAGATCACCCAGATTGGCTGACCCTAAAAGACAGCAGGGGGAATCTGCTTTTCTGGAAACTGAGAAGCAGAGCAGGGAGAAATCATCCAGGATTCAGCTCCGAGGCAAAAATAAATAAATAAATAAAAATAAACAAATAAAATAAAAAAAACTGGTATTGAGGGCCACAGAAAAAGAAGGCTAAAGCAACCAAAAAAGAAGGGACATCAATCCACATACACTGCCACCTAGGGTCTGGAGTACAATCTGACTGTGTTTATTATTAGTATTATTTGATCAAAAACCAAGAAACTAAGGAATCGCCACTGAGGTGCAGCAGAACACAGGGAACTGCAATACGGGCTGGACTAAGAAACGGGCATGTCGAATAGAATAACAGAAGTGAATGGCCTTCACAACTGAACATTTTTTTTTTTTTTTTGCTAATTTTTTTTCTTCATTTTTTGCATCTTTTACTTAAGAAACAATTTTTTTTCTTTTTTCCTCACTAGATTATAACTTTTTAATTATTACATTTTTAGGCTAAATAAGCATTTTTAACACTGCTATTTTAATATTTTTCTTAAGTGCCATTTTATTTTCTCTTTATTTTACAATTGGAATTAGCATTCTTCATTTTATTTTCATTTCTCCTTTAACATTATTTAACCCTAACTCAACACAACCTTTACACCATCATTCTCTTTCTACCCCTCCCCCTTTTTTGCTATCCTGTTTATCTTAACCCTTTCCTGCTTTATATTTCTTTACTCTCTCTGTATCCCCCTGTTAAAATTTCTACCCTACTTATATATCTTATCTCCCATCCCTAGTGCCAAGTGCATACACACCCCTCTCTGAGCTATATTAACTAGGAAAAAAAACAAAAACAAAAACAAAAAATTGTTTTCCTCACGGTTCTTTCGATGCTGTTTGGGGGAATGATGATTATATTATATTTTTATGCTTTTTAAGTGAGAATATTTTGCTTAATCTTTTGTTGTTGCTGGTGCTCAGTATTTTCTTATTTGATTGGTTTTTGTTAGTTGTTATTATATTACTTCTGTTTTCCCTTACTGTGTTGGAAATTAGGGGATGTTGTAGATTGTATTATTCTCCAGGTACTGCTGACACGATTGTTGGGGTTAGTGGTTGTTCAATTGAAATTCTCTCCCCATATATATAGTTTGTTCCCCTTCTCTCTCTCTCCCTCCCCCCCTCTCTCTTTTTCTCCCTCTCTCTCTCTCTCTCTCTCTCTCTCTCTCTCTCTCTCTCTCTCTCTCTCTCTCTCTCTCTCTCTCTCTCTCTCTCTCTCTCTTCTCCCTGTTTCCCAAATTCATTTTGACACTCTTTTTCCTATCTTTTTCTTTTGCTCCCTCCCCCCTCTCTTTTTACTCTTCCTCTTTCTCCCCTATTCCCTAATTTGCCTTTCCTTAGTGGTTACATTTATTGGAAGTTATTAATATTGCAAACACATTTCTGTTCGTGCCTTGTGTATTGTACCTGGTTGTGTTGTATTTTGTGCCTTTAAATCAATGCAAGAGAGATAAATCAAAACAGGAGAGAGAAATCCTGAAGAGAGACCATGGAAAGACAAAGATACAGCCCACAAATGAAAGAAAAGCAGGCATCACCAGAAAAGGAAGTAAACGAGTTAGAGGCAAGCAACCTACCTGAGCAAGAATTCAGAGTAACAATCTTAAGATGGCTAAAAAGAATGGAAGACAAATTTGACAATATGAGTAAGACCCAAGAGGAAATGAAAAAAAAACAAGAGTAAATGAAGATGACTCAAGATGAAATGAAAAATGACATCGCTACTATGAAGAACTCAATAGAAAGCATCAAGAGCAGACAAGAAGAAACAGAGGATCACATCAGTGAGCTAGAAGACAAGATGGAAAAAAATACCCAATTAGAGCAGCTTCTAGAAAAAAAAATTAAAAAGCAGGAGGAGAGCCTACGGGAGCTTTGGGACAATGCAAAACAAAACAATATTCGAATAATAGGGGTTCCGGAAGGAAAGAAAACCGAGGTAGACATGGAAAACGTATTTCTAGAAATAATGACAGAAAACTTTCCTGAGATAGAGAAGAAAAAACCCACACAAATCCAAGATGCTCGCAGAGTCCCAAGCAAAATGGATCCCAGAAGACCGATGCCAAGACATATTATAATTTAATTGACAAACACCAATGACAAAGTAAGAATCTTAAAAGCAGCCAGAGAGAGACAGAAAGTTACATATAAAGGAACCCCCATCAGACTAGCAACTGATTTCTCAACAT